GTGCATAATCACCTTTACCCTACCAGCAAAGGCAAAGGAAAACAGGGTTATCATTAGAAATTTGGCCATTGATAGGTATGCTTCTACAATTGATTTTTAACTTGGAAAGCTGCAAAACTAACTTAAACTTTATTCCTGGTAAATGTTGATGTTCAGAAAAATAAATTTATTTTTAATTTAGTTTTTTTCATTTCTCCTTTCAAGACTGGCCTTTACTTCAGTAATTGTTACAGTCAGCATCCCAAAACATTTTTGGCTCTTCTAAAAACATGCCATATTTCAAAATAGCCACTTTCCATTCTCATGGCATATAGGACCTGAATGAAACATAGACTGAACCTACTGAGAAAAACTGCATTGAATTCAACAGGCTTCAGTCAGTGAACTCAGAAAACTTGTTTCTAGTCCAAAAGAACATTTCAAAATATGTCTATATTTTTATTTTTTATTAGTTCCTGTACTTAATTCATGTTTAAGGGCTTTGTTCATTTGGGACCTCAGTTAGTACTTTGGCAAGCCTTTGTTGAATGTGAGCCTGATTGGAAGGTTCTTGCTGATTTTGGCTTTATCTCTGAGTTCAAGGACCATCCTGTAAATAGACTAGGCTGTACAGGCTGGGAACCACAGTGATTTACTAAGGTTGTGCAACCAGAGTGAAAATACTTTTCCCCCATCCATCATAACAGAGCAAGTTCTGAAATGACAACAGTTATTTCCTTACAAGAAAAACTACGGACAGACTGCACAACTGATAACCTTTAAATTTACAGTGAAGGAAGTGAAAAACAAAAAGTCTCAGTGCAAAAACTTTATCGTCTTTTTCAAACAGCTAGAGATAACTTTTGCTGCAGATCAATAAACCCCATTACTGATCACATAACAATTGTTATGAACAGATTCTCAGTACTTACTCCAATTACTAAATGGATTTTCTTCATGGAGTTACTGATCACAAAATTCTGACAGCCGAGGCTGTGATACTCTTTTGTGGAAATAAAAGCTGTCTTTATCTGTCCTTGTAACTTGTGGGTGTGGAAGATGAAGGGTAAGCAAACAAAAAGGGAAGAAAAAGAGTTGTTTATACAATCAATGGATAAAATCTGAAACTGCTGACTTCTCCATGTACAGAAAAAGTGATAATCACAATTATGAGTTGTAATAAAAAACTTGTAAGTAGTCAATGAAGTGTACAGAGCAAAGTTTTCTTACAAACTCTCCACTTAACACGTATGTTACAAGTTAGCAGTTTCTTACTTTCTTTGCCGTAATCATATCCATCTTGTCAACTGCTACATTAAAAACAAAACAAAACAAAAAAATTAGTGTTAAATAAACTTTTTAAAAATTGAAAAAAAGCCAATAAATGTCATATAGGATAGTTTAATCCTAACCTGACTATGCTGAAAAACAGTTTAGCCAGGATCTTTGACAGGGTCTATTTCTATTGATCACAGTATCGAGTTATAGAAAATTAACTAGTAACTCTACTTACACAGCATTAAAAATTTAAATTATTCACAATATTCATCAGCGCAGCTAAGACTGATTATGGTTTAAAATCCTGCTTCCACAGTATTCAGTACTCTGTCTAAAGCAGTGACTCAGAAAAGCATAAGATAAGGGAATTATTGGAAGGAAAAAAAAATTATTACAGAACTAGTTGTATATCGGCTTCCCTTTAAAAACAAATTAAGATTACACAGAAAATCCCAACTTAATATCTTGTTCCCATTAGAAAGATGCATGGAAAAGCTTTTTTAATACTTCTCTTCCTGTTCAAATGGAAATCCCAAGTGGTTTGTAGATCATCCTACCTTCCTGCGTTTTAGCAAGTGGGAGACACATAATGCAGAAGAATCCACTGCTTGTGAGAATGAACATATGATAAACACCTAAAAAAAGCCCAATACAAATATTTCAAACTTAAGTATTCTAAAGTAAAGAGACTACTTGCTTATAAATAAGAACGTGAAATAACTGACAAAAAAAAATCTGACCAATAGACTAGACTGTTTTTCAACAAAAATTCTGTCACCTTCAACAAAGAGTTGAGTAAATTTGTATATCTTAGAGTTTTGTTTGAAATCATGACTTTTGTATGGCATCCATCAGACTGCAAATTCTGTTTTTGTGATAAAACTACATTTAAGTACATTATATTGTGACAGAACAAGACTGGGATCTTATAGAAGAACAGGAACCGCTAAAACCTGAAGTCTGATTGAAGGAGAGAGAAGTGCTTTCTTTTTGAGCGTTTTCAGATGTTTAGCACAGTCTCGAAAGAGGTATTGAGTTATGAAAGTTTGTTGTTTTCTATGACATTTGTAAATTAATGAAACCTAAATATCTTTACAGGAAAGCATTAAGAAAGGTGCATTCAATATGTATGATACAAAGTAAAGCTGATAATTTATTTTGTAGTCTGTTTCCCTGGCAGATATTAAAGGGGAACAAAATCACAAAAATTGAGATAAGGGGAAAAAAAAAAAAATCAAATTCTTACCTGCATCTGCATTATCTTTTTCAATAAAGAGATTTAAGTAAGTCTTTTCACTTAATGATTTTTCAGCCAAAATCTAAAATAGAATCAACATAAAAACTATTATTCTGTATTTTATTTGAAAAAACATAAAATACTGGAAACACTGATCATCAGTTCAAACTTTATACCTTTTTCTTTCATGAAGGACTAGTTCTTGTTTATACATGCCATTCCGAAATATATTTTCCTTATTTATTATTTACGAGAACAAGTGTTCCTTTAATCTGTTTCTTCAAACTAGAACATGTGTTCAAAACTCAAGAATGTTTATATTTTGATATTTGGAAAAAAGAAAAAAACAACTCAAAAAATTCTGAAAACAAAAGATTTTCAGCAAAATTAGAATAGAAAAATTACTGTACCTTAGTTAGCAAGGTTTGTTTTGATGGTATATGAATAAGATGGAAATTTCCACTTCTTTCACCGACCACAAGAAATTGTTTTTCTTGACATGTACCAACAACATCCACATTAGTATCTGAAAAATTTCACGGCAAAGTGTCAAATATTAAGATTCGGGTTTTATTAATAGACGTTAATATTTGCAACACAGTAATTAGACAATACGGTGTCCCCACTTGCTCCTGATCTGAGGAAACACTAACCCGATAGCTCCCCCCCTTCTTGGGATGCTCACCAGATGGCCTCCATCAAAGTATGGTAACTACTTTGCAATGGAATGAGAAAGAACAAGACGGGCCATTGATGATCCATATCAAAGGATGGTAACTCCCTTGTGATTGAATGGAAGGAGGACAGGATGGGCCATCTCATTATCTCTTGTCCTTGAGATAAGCGAGGAACTAAATCCACTGAGCCATAAAGACAAAGGAGCTGCAAATTAGCCCAGACTTGAAGGACAAGGTGTACCTGGCTACAGGACTGAGTTTGTGCAGAAGGGTCAACTAGCGAACACAGTGAAGAAGACTACGAGCCTTCATCTGAAGACCCCTGCCCACAACCACCAGGAAGCACTGTGCAAGTGCGACGGGAGGAGTTGGGGTGGGGGGATATGTTAACGATTTCTCAGAACTAATTGTAATATTCCCTCCCTATCCTTGGAGTAATGATGCATAAGTATTAGAATTAGTGAATATGTAACATTTTTGAGCAATAAAAAGGGGCTGTTTTCTGCTCCAAGTGGTGCACGCCTGTGGTGGAGTTATCCCCCGTGTGCCAAGCACTGAATAAGCATACCTACTTTATAACCTTGCTGGTTGTAAAGTTGTGATTCCGCGCCTCACTCCAAAACTATTTTGATTGAACAAAGTACAGAAAAGGGAATACAGGAAGTGGTTTGGCATCTGTTATTCCCATTTCAGTGGAGACATAGCAAGCATTATAATTAAATCGTACAGAAATACTTAGTTAATTGTATACAGAACCAACAATCACTTTTTATTACTTCAGTATTTATTATACTTCTTTTTACAGGCTAGTTAGATAAGCAAGATACTTGCTATATTTTCCTATGCAAACTTAACATGCATATTTTAAAAGTCACTTTTAACTTCCAGTAGAATTCCAAAGCAATGAATTTACCAAACTGAATGTGCATCTGAAGAGACTGCCCAGTACTGTCAAGAAGCGCCACCGATTTGTCAACAACAATAATACTCCCATCCCTCGAGTTGCTGGCATACAACTGTGGATTAACAGAGACCTAAGAAAAAAAGGTTATTTCTAATAACTGAAACACTTTAGAAAATATGACAAATAAGCTCTGGTAGTTATTAAGAACAACATGACACTGATGAATTCTACCTTTTCTGAAGATGTGATTTGAAGTAGTGTATCCACTTGGTACAATGCAGTTCCACATTCGTGCCCTAAACCTGCACGGAGCTGCTCAGTCCCCGTGTCATCATTTGTCAGAAGTTCAATATCATTCCACATGTTTACCTATGATAAACAATTGAGGAACATGCTGTAAAGCAGAGAGCTATAAGAAAGTTATATGACTACACGGAGATTACTGATTATTCCGTTGTGATACTGCGCCTAGGAAGTAGTACAATAAGCCTCCTAAAGGCAAACTGCGCGTTTAGAGAAGAGGAAAGTTAAGTCGCAAGAGTAACGCGGCTCCCGGCTGACGTCCCCCGCAGGCCCAGACCGAACGCAGCTCGGTGAGAACGAGTTTCGCGCTGGAGGCTGCACGAAAATCAATGCCAGAGAGCCCTCCCCACCCCACTGCCCACAGGGACGGCGAGCCGCCCTCTCCTCACCGCGGCCGGTGACAAACCACCACGGCGCTCCCTCAGCCTTTCAAATTGGCGGGAGCGCGGACTACGGCACCGGGTGGCAGCGTGGGCCAAACCTCCTCCCAACGCGAACACGCACCGTTGCTAAGACACCCGCTGCTTCTTCTCCACCCCCCATGATGCACTGCGGGTCCCTCGCTCCCTGCCGCCTTCCCCCCGCCCCATGGCTACATCCGGGCGCCTAGGGGGAGGGGGAGGGCGGGGCGTGGCGTGGCGCCTCGGTGTGCGAGCGCTCTGGCCGCGGGAGGGTGAGCTCCTTGTGAGGAGTTGTTACCGGGGAGGGGAGCGACGTCCCGGGCGCTCGGTTATGGCGGTAAGTGGTAATCACCTGCTGGGGTTTTTGGAGGGAGCTGAGTTGGAGAAGGCGAGCGGGAGGGGAAGCTGCTACGGGGCGTGAGGGAAAAGCGTGTGAGATGGGGAGGGCTGGGTCGGGGAAGCCGTGTGCGCGGAGAGACAAAATGGCGCCCGCCGCTCTTTCGCTTGCCGGCGCCATGATGGGCCTCGGGGAGGGGTTGGCCGCTTTTCAACCCCTTACTTCTATCCTTGTTTCCAGAAGTTTCTGTTTCGCTTCTCTGGGCTTGGGGAGAAGCGAAGGGGCCTTGTGGGCGAGGCCCTATCATTTCTTGCCTGGGGAGAGAAGTGTTGTGGCGATGGGAGCGGGCGTTTCTCGGAGGGACTGTGGGGCGCAGGTTCGCTGGGAGGGAAGGAGGGAGGGAATCGATTTGGCGGTCGGGCCAAGCTCCGTTTTCGTTCATGTTGGTTTCCCCACGCTAATATTTTTCTTTGTGTTTGGACACAGGCTGCTATTTTCAGCATCTTTTTTTGCATTTAGTGATCAGTTATTTGCCAGCGTCCTCCTGTTTTTATGGTTAATATCGATAGGAAACGCCTCTGCTGTAGTTAATCACTGTCCTTTATGTTCATACACGGCCTAAAAACGTAGCTTTATTCTCTTAAAATTTGTGTGGCCTGGTAACATATATGAAGGTGTTTGTCCTATAATTGAGCTAAAGAACCGGTAAGAGTCGTATTAAACTCGATGTGGCTAATTTTTTCAAAAGTTATTAAATAGTCTTGAGTGAAAAAACAAACAAACAAACAAGACTCTGGAATGATAAAACGCTTCCAAGTTGATTTGGAGTGCTTTTTGGTGTTTAATCTGGTATTTTGAATTCTTGTCTTGATAGTTTAACCAGTGGAGAAACAGAACAAGAGGACCATAAACTTCTGGAGAAAATTAATATTTTTATTCGCAATGTTTTTTCGGCTTATATAACTTAATCTGTTATTCTTAACATAATTTTTTCTGTAAAAGGACTTGAATTATGAATTTATTTTGGACCTAGGTTATAGGTTCCTCTAAAGTAGTAGGTAAGGGGCTTTTTCAGTGAAACGGCTTGTGGCCAATCCACATACTCATTAAGAACTAAGAATAGTCTCGTTGAAGTCTGTCAGCCCTTTTTTTGCTGTTTGTTTTTTGTAGAGCTGGGAGATTTCTCTAAGGTGCAGTGCACAAGGGTATTAATGAGCAGCAGTGTGTGTAAATAATGAGACTGATAGCCTTGGAAAATGCAGCAGTTGGCTCAATTTCAGTTGGGTACTGTGTTTAAAAACCTATTTAACTTAAGCTGTTAGCTAGTATTCTCCTTATCCTCTCGAGTAACTTCAGAATGTAAATTTGTAGAAATCTCAAAATTGCTTTGGAACTTCTAGCTGAGTCTTTTAGAAATCTTGGATGATGAAGGGGGAGAAATGCAGATAAGCATATAATAGTGTGGAACGCCAAGGGTTGTGATGGCTAAGATCACAAATGGGGGTGTCAATTCCTATTCCTTAATCAATGTGGTGAAGTTTTCAGGATGACCAGTGGTATATCAGTAGTATTCAGAACTGTCACTGAGGTGATAGTTAAAGCTCTGCTGCAGATGCAACCTTAAGCAGTCAGTGCTCCTGTCCATATGCTGGTGTTTCAAACTAGATGCGAGTAACCTATGTGAATGGAGAAGTGAACAACTGCTTTATCACTCTTAGACAGATTTTTACTCTGGATGTATTTTTGTACAGATGCAAATTAATAAAGAATTGCACAGACTAAACGGTAGAAGCTGAAATAAATCCAAAGATTTAGCTGTAGCATGTTATGAAGAAAGTCCACCATTAACATACTATATTAATGACAATCTCTAATTTGTGGTTTAAAAAAACCTAGCTGATTTGAAAACAAAGCACTGAATATAAATTAAAATTTGAGAGGTTTTTGCATGCTTTGTTCAGATTGCAAACAAAACTGCAGCTGGTAGAATACCATGCAAGTTCGAGTCCTCTGCTACACTGGATTATCATAATAAATAACATTTCTGGGCCAAATGATGTCCTTAGTGAGTGAAATCTTCTGCAGCCACATGTTGTTCAAAAGGTTTTATTATGACTGCCATTTATGTGATCAGAACAGGAGAGACCAATGAATCTGTAAAGGCATTAATGAAAGCACATTCACCTTTTTGGTGTGTACTTTTTCCACTGTTCTTTTCATTGCCTTGTACACTGGTTGCACACATTTACTTCTCCCAGCATTGAATCACAAAGCAGTCTTGGCTGCTCTACACAAGCTAAGTTCTTTGGCATTATTCCTCCTAGGTCAAGGTTTAGAAGGGATGGAGGGAGCATACTGGTTTTTGTCATCTAAGGAAAATGTGAATACAGAAATTGTTGAGATGGACAGGTAGATGTGACCTATGTGTACTCTCCTACAAGTACATATTTTTGCATAGAGATACTGTTTGAGGTTTTTCCTTATTCAGAAGTTAGCTGTCTGATGCAATATATCTCATTTAATTTCTCTTCAAAGTTCATTCTGTACTTCAGAATACTGTGGGGATTTTGTTGTGCTGTGCCTTAGTAATGCCCTAACTTGTGAGGTGATTTAGATCTGTTGGGACGGTATTGACCTTAAGTAATCTTAGTCATGTAAATGTTAAAAGATAATTGACCTACAAACACTACTGTTTAGAGAAAACTGTGGATCGGAGTTGAGTCTTACTGATATTTTCAAAAGCACGTGGGAAAAGTAACGTACAATCTAATGTAGTGGGAGAGCAAAATGATATTATATATTAGTTATCTTTTTAATGAAGTCTTGAAAAATCAATTTGTATGCAGTTACATAGTTCACTGCAAGTCTATCAAGCTATTGTCTATCACGCCATAATAATGGGATGGCTACTCACAAGATTGTCTTTTACAGAAGATAATTTTAAGTGTGTCTTCTGAGGAAGTACTAAGTAAATAATTTTTCTTGTTTTCCAGTCCTAAGTTTTTGGTTTTTTAAACATTCTGTCTTCATGTGTAGGGTAGTGATACAGAGCGGGATGGAGTAGCCCCAGAAAAGTCCTCTCCAGAAAGAGAGAAGAAAAAGGAACAATCAGATGCCTCTAGTTCTCCCAGAACATCAAAGCATCATTATTCAAGATCACGCTCACGGTCAAGGGAAAGAAGACGGAAGTCAGGTATGGTCTTCGTATAAGCAAAGTTGCTTAGTAATGTTCTGGTGTATGTTTGTAGAAATGAAATTCCTTCAAAGCTCTTTTGGAAAAAATATACAGACTTAGTTCTAGTAACTTGTTACAACTGGAAAAAAATTAAGCTACTGATTTTGATTTTGTATCTTTACTGTATTGAAACTTCTCTATTTTAATGACAGAAGGGCTGTTTTGTCAATGTCCAGGGGATGGGGCAGGAGACACACACACACAGCACCCAACAGAAAACCATACTACTTCGTCTTCATTTTAATTAAATATGCTTAGACTGGGATAATACTCTTGCATGGTAGTAACAAAAATAAGGTTACCTGGCTGAAGAATGTGGCTGGAGTATGGCATGGGCTAGTTTTTCACTGCCAGAGCTTAAATAAATGCAAAGAACTGAGAATAACAATGAGAGTTTGCTTTCTGCAGTAGCTATTTGAATAGTGCTATTTGTTTTCTAAATCTGTATTCTTGACTTTGGAGGGTGGAATAACTGAAAGGAACTAGAAAGATTATAGCCAGCTGATCTCTTCTTTAACTTGGTAAATAACAATAAATGTTTTCTTCTCCAGATGCTGAAGGAAGAAAACACAGAAGCCGGAGCAGAAGCAAAGAGGTAATTAATACTTTGTAGCGTTTGGGTAATTGTACAGTACAACTTTAAAAGTATCTTGTAGTAATGCACATGTGTAAACCTATATAAATGACTTTATGGTAAGTACAATAAATTGGAAACTTTAAGCTTAAAAATGGATATGGAGATCCTTTCATAGTGAAGCATGATTGCAGCCATCATGTTGACAAGGTAATAGTTTTATAGAAAAATGCTTTCAGAAACTAGTAAATTAATTCTTTTTTTTTTTTTTTTTTTTTTGTGGAAACAGCCAAAAGACAAAAGAAAGAATTCATGTGGAGAAGTAGAATGGTGTTCTTGATGACTTTCACAGAGCTTCCATTAAACAAAAGCCTTGGGTGGCTTTATTCCTGGCCAGTGTTCAGGACTTTGAATGATATATACCCGTCTACTTAAGTATATTAAAAATAATTCCCCACCTGACCAAGCTTTGTTTATTGCATCCTTTAATTGTAAAGACTGTCACAGTTTGACAAACAAGCTGAGTCAGCTGGAAACATGACAGTAGCAGCAAAAATTTCAGAGGGCTGTCTTCTTTTTTTTTATTTTATTTTAAATAAATACTGATGATATATGTAGGGGAGTGAGAAGAGACAGCATCAGTAATACTTTGAAAATAACTGGCTTGCACACCAGAGAAGAGATGAAATGAGCAAACGAGCATTGAAATTGTCACAGAGAAGCTTAATCTATGTGGGGCAATAGCAGGCTGGGTCAGCTGAGGGGCTTTTTAACTTTTAACCCAGGTCAGGAACTTCTCCTTCCCACATCCCAATGGAAGCTCTGTTTAAAAAAGGAGGAGAAGAGGAGAAAAAAAAAAAAAAAAAAAAAAAAAAAAGGAAAGAAAAATAATCTAGGAGAGTTTTTGTGAAATTGAATATATTGTTTAGCTCACATGATAACATTTCTATAATAAATCATACTCAGCGTGCTAATGCGCGAAGAGACTGAACTGAAGACGCTGCAGACTCAGATAGCAAAATTATAAGCCTACTTCATGATAAGGTAACTATTAGTCATTCAAACTCATATTTCCCTTAAAAATATCTTAAATCCGTTATGGGATATAATGGTGGTTTATTACTAAGTGTGTGCCTGGAAGACATGATTAAAAAAAAAAAAAAAAGAAAACCAAACAACCAAACCTAACAAACACTTTCTAATGTTTAAGAAAAAAAAGACCTTGCTTAAAATTATGTCCAGTGTTTTGCCATACTGTTGTATCTAATCTTACACAATTTATTTAGCAATTTCTGTAAGTTTCACAGCATGAATAGATGAGGAATAATGTCCCACAGTAGATTTACTGTTTCCATTCATTTGCAAGATTAAGCTCTGTTTATAGTCTAAATATGAGTAACAGTAATTCTCTTTAATATGTATATCAGAACAACTAGTTATGTAAGTACATACTTAAAATTAATGTGCAGGTAACATCTCAAAATTCAGATGTGTTTTTATGTAACAACTGATTATTCAAGGAGTTAAGAAATACTGTGAAAGCAGGAAGAATATCTAGCCTATTATATATATGTATACTTGAAGACCTATAATTTATTTAGAGATTTATATATATTAATAAGGAGTTAGAAAGGCTTGGATAAGTGGATATAAGCTAATTATAGCATCTTTTCCAGACTTGATTCTTTTGAGAGTTACAATTATAGGAAAGGTTTTATGAGTATTTAACAGATTTAGGTAAGCAGAAAACACTGAAGAATTGAGTTTTAGTCTAAAATGAATGTATCATCCTTAAATTGTGACATGCAACAAAACATCATTTAAACATGAGACTTAAGTGGGCTATGCTTTTGTGCTAGAAAGATTTCAAAATAAACTCTGTATATTAAGAAAAGGTGTTGATGTCATGACTTAGTCTCTAAGGAAAACACTGGCAAAAATCAGGCCTGACCTTGCTAAGTATTTTTGGCACTGTGGCTATAAAAAGGAATCTTTTTTTAAGAGACACTGCAGGGAGAAATTGCGGTATAGTGGAGCAGCATATCTTTAATTTAAAACTACAGTGGGAGGTCTCAGTGATGCATGTTAAATACTAAAAATGGGGTGTCAACCATGTAACTTACTACTTTGCTTTTTAAAAACTGTTGGGAAGTTACTGACTGAATAGAGTTTTGTTCTAAAAACTAATTATCTCATGATGGATATAAAATTACTTCAGTTCTAAAAGCAAAATACTATATGTCCGCAACTATGTATTGATTTTAGTAACTTTCTACATGGTAGGCTTAGGCAAATATTAAATAATCACTACAAATGTGAGTGTGTGTGTGTTATGCATATTCATAAATTGTCAGGTACTTAAAAGATAAGTACTTATGTGTTTGGAATGGAGACAGTAACTGAGAATGACAGTTGGCTGTGAACTCTTATATGGGAACACTGTAAAGATACCTTGATGGATGCTTTAGAAATTCTTTAGACAGTGGGGAGGAGGGAAAAGGGGGAAAAATTAGAGCGTGCATTTGCAACTGAGTAGTTGGTGGCGTTAGGTAAAATAGCCATCGCTCATGATTGAGTCACACTCCTAAGGTTACTAATGTTGCATCACAACTTATCATTTTTTATCTTCTGATACCCATACTAACTCTCTTTGTTGCACTATTTTCCTGAAAGAACCAACTTCTTCTTAAAACAGGCAAGAAGACATGAATCCAAAGAGAAGTCCTCCAAGAAGCACAAATCTGAAGACCACAATGACAAAGAACATTCTTCTGACAAGGGAAGAGATAGCTTAAATTCATCTGAAAATGGTGAGGATAGACATAAACGCAAAGAGAGAAGATCATCAAGAGGGAGGAGTCATTCAAGATCCAGGTCTCGTGAAAGGTAAGTTGTTTTACGTAATCATTCTTTAAGTGCATTTGCAAAAGCAGCATTTGGAATTTGTGTAGTCTTCTGAAGTACAGCTGACTTACATTACTGACTTAAATTGATGCTTTAGAGTTATATTGCATGTTTCAGTTTTCATTGGATTGTGCATTTGCTGCTACTTGGTTTTTGTTTTGGTTTTTTTTTTTTTTTTCAGAGTGGTTCTGAGTAAAAGTACAAAATATCTCTAAGGCATTATATAGGTGATCTGTCTTTTGCTTGTAATTTGTATACACAGTATAGAAAATTTATAAAGAGAGTCTACTAAATGTTCCCTGTTGTCAGTGACAGGAAGTAAAATACACCTTAGCAGTGTCATGGCTTTTTACCTCCTAAATCAAGAGCCTACCCAGAGACAATGCTTTCTAAGCCTCCTTACATGGTAGGCCTCCAGCACACTCTCATGGTAGGAAAATTTCTTGGGACAAACAGGTTGCTGCCAGCAGAACTTCTCAGCCAGCTCTGCTCATAGCTGAGGGATCTGCAGCAAACATGATAGCAAGGAAGAAGCTTCAGCTGATGATATGCTGAGGGACTGTGTGTAACTCAAGCTGAGATTTGGGTATCCCTTCCCTAAGGTATTGGAATACCATGGGGAGGAGGAAAGTTTTATTGCCTTGAATTTAAGGCTCCAGCATCAGATTAGTTTTACTGTGTATTTGTTTTGAGATGTACACTTCAGCGCACAGCTAAAGAGGGCTATATTGATGACTGATTCTTTACATAAACTGTGTAACTCACATGTCTGTTGTGGCTGGTGGTAGTGTTTGGTTCCTTTCCCATTTCATCTCCTAGTTTTACAACTTAAACTGTTCCAGGCATGAACTCTTCTGTGTGTAGTTTGCAGTCTCCCCACCCTGCCTGATGCATTTTGCCCTGTGGTGACAAACCTGTATGTAAGTCCTTAAGTAGAAGCTGAATGTAAACATGAGAATATATGTAAGAATTTGGGACGTGTGTTTCAGACGTCATCGTAGTAGAAGTCGTGATAGGAAAAAATCCCGATCTCGCAGCAGAGAGAGAAAACGACGTATAAGATCTCGTTCTAGATCAAGATCTAGACACAGACATAGAAGTAGAAGTAAAAGCAGAACTAGGAGTAGAAGCAGGTAAGTGTTAACTTCCATATACCCTTAGTAGTGGTGTTTGGTTGAATATTCTCTGCCAGGCTGATAGATGATAGGTTTGCCAGTTAATGTCTATTCAGTGTAACTAAATGGTTTGGCTTTTCCTCAGTTGTATTGATACAGTGGGTTAAGGACTGGGTAGTTCGCGTACACTTACAGAAACATTCCATCCTAGACAACAAGTGGCTCAGATTCTCAGTTTTTCATAGCGTGATTTCTTGTTAGCAATTAGAAGTTCTTAACTAGATATTTTGTGGGTATCTTATAAACCCACCATTTTAACTTTTGACCAATAAAGTAGAAGGAAAATAAATAATATTTTGAGTAGTAATGATTACCACACTTGAAGCTCTTTTTGGTTTCTTATATCACAACTGAATTTACTATTTTAAATAGGATATTTAAATGATACTTAAGTGGGAAAAACTGAACAGTAAGATACAATTAACCCTTTCATGTGTTTGATACAAGAGTAGTGTGGTTGACAAAGCACTACTTTAAAAATACTGTTGTGTTTATCTCTTTGTTTGTGTGTATCATAAAAGGGAAGGTTAACTGGATATCACTGGCTGTCGGAGCAGATGCACTGATCAGAAGCTAATCTTGGTCAGCTCCACAGAGTTAATTTTAAAATTTTCCTTATCTGTGAACTGGCACAATTAGTGTAGTGTTAAGGTGAATTTTGAGTCAGGTATTTCTGATCTGAATGTGCTATTCTGTGTTAGTGGTTACCAACTCCTTTTTGTCGAGTTCAACATGAGACTATTTACCGTGTTAATTTTTCTGCAAATCTTGGGTGCTTCCATTTCTTCCTTAACCTTAAATTCTAGAGGCACATACTGAAACACTTTAGCTAAACACATACTGGTTTATTTCGGTTCTGTTTGACAGAGTTGAGATCCATGCCTCACCTGGTATCTGCTAGAATTGAGGTTTTCATGATGGTATAGAAGTTAATGTTCTCCAATACTGATGAATCATTCTGTATTTTGGTGTAGAGTTCTGAGTCTATTTGTATGTGTCACCTTTGCATTCTTAATGCCCTGTAAGATTTTCTGATTAAGCAAGGTGAAATACGACTTAATGATTACTAGGGTTGTGAGTTCTTTTCCCCCCTCCTACTTGTTTAAAGTAAGACAAGTAGTTTGAATACAAATTGGTGTGCAGTCAGAGCTCCCAAAAAGTGTTGACAGTGTTCCAGTTCGTTTGGTAGTATTTTCACTAGAGTATTTTAAGTTGCATATTTAAAGGATGTAGAAGTTGGTTATGACTACTCAACATTACAGTGGATCATTGGAGACTTAAGAATATAGCACACTTGTACAATGCTACAACATCACTTGTGAAACTGTTAAGAAGACTTCTTTCTGAAGAACTAGGTGAATTACATGGTTTGTGTCGTACTTTATTTTGGCACGTAATTTCTACCAAACTTTCAGCTGGGGTGAGTAGAGCTGGGTCTTCATTTGGCATCATCACTTGCATCAGTGGTATTTAAGCCACCTTCAGCGTGATGTGTAAGGCTTCAGTTCTCCATTATTTCTACTTACAGGTGGTGTGCACTTACTGTTTTTAAAAGTCACTTTTGAACATTTTGTGTTTAATGGCTCTGTGAAAACTTCACATTCCAGAATAGTTTTTTGCTTCTGCAGTTGAATTCAGATTACCTAAAACAGAACAGCAAATGTAGGCAGAAAAAAAGAAGGGATCTTAGGAATTTCTTCAGCTGGAAACATGCCTGTTTGGATAGTGATGAACATACTGCAAGAATCCATTTCTTTTAAGTACTGGTTTTTGTCTTACAAATCCTAGAGGAGGAAAATAAGTGAGGCATAGGTCTTTTTTAACAGTAGCTAGAACACTTCATGAAGTTCTGGGCTCAGGTAAAGCCTTTGGAAAGAATTATTTTTTCCTCAAGGAAAACTCTTCACAAGCCAGATAAATATGATGTGGAAACCTACCATGTTAAAACTCAACTGTGAAATGAATTCCTTCATTCACAAAATGCACTATTTGTTGTGTTACAGATAACAGGCTCTGATGGAAGCATTTGTAAATACTAGAGCTTGATCTTCTCTTGATGGCTCTTTGCATAATCTCAAACTCACATTTGCAAGTGATCTGTCCTCACTAGCATTTAAACTAATCATTTTGTTCTGTGAGTGTCTAGACCCTTTTGGCAGTTCTTTTGTGGCATTGCTCTGATTAAATGCTAGGTGGAAAACATGACACCATTTGCTTGTTTCAAATGGAAATACTTAAATACAAAAGCTCAAATATTTATTTCCTTGATGTTTACCAGTGCAGTAAAGCATCAGACCAAAGACAAGACCAAACTACAATAGTCAGCACGGGAAAAATGAAGGTATCTTTGAAACATGCATTACATCTTATCTCAGGAATGCAGATCTGTCACTTCCCAGTGCCTGAATCTGCATCTTGTCATCTTCTATGAAAAGATAAGTCTCGCCTCCTTTGTATTCTACCAGATTTGTCATGTAAACAAGGATCTCTTTTTGTAACTTCAGTCTACATTTCATGATGATTGTACATGCTGCCCAAGTTGCAAACAGAAGAAACAGATTATCTGCCATTTAAAGTGGCTGTTGTCACGTTAGCTATTATCTCAAGTGGTTGATAATAACACTTAGGTATAAAATTGCAGAAACATCATTGTGCATCTCAACTTACTGTTTATGGCAAATCTGGGAAAAATGTGAGTGATACCTCCTGTAATTTAAGCTTCCAATATCTGTGACTTCTTTGTTTAAAACATCAGTGTCAGAGGCTCAAATAGAGATAAACCCTTATCTCTTGTACTGTAGATATTAATGATCCTGGCAAAGATAAATACTGCTAATAGTACTTTATATGTGTATTTCAGGTGGTTGTTGCTTAGATGGGACTAGATGTATATCTCATAAGAACAACTTCTGCTTGGGAGGAGGTGGGGAGAAGGTTACTAAAGGAGAACTAAACTGATTATTTTGATATTTTTCTTAAAAATACGTTTTTAACGGAGTTCTTTTCAGGTTGTCAGGCTTCAGATAATGCATGCTTCGTAGTTCTTTGCGCAGTATTGGCCTTTTCAAGAGCAAACCTGAGACAAATAACGTGTTTAAACCAGCTCTCCCATTTACCTTGATAGCCTCCCTCAAACACTTGTCCAAAGCACATTTAGTGAAGAGTCTGCAGAGAGGAGAGGAATAGTAATTTCCCTGAGTACTGTTCCAGTTTTTAAATCAGGAATCTTAAATGCTTATTTTAAACAGAGTGCTGTGAAGTCTTTTATGGTTTTAAAGCATTCTTGTAACTTGATCCACTTTACAGTTTTCTTCCAATTGACTTTACCAAAAGTTACATTAAGCTTTTTCTTGTCAGGTTTTAGAATGAAGATTTCTAGAGCAGATCTGTTTTTTCTAAATGCTAAGTATAAGAGGGTAAATGATTACCCCAAATGACACGTTCTGTTACGTCGTAGTTGGAAATAGTCAGTTTTAGCTCTTTCTTGTGAAAAGGCAAATGTGACTGTTATCCTGTTCTAGTATAATCTATGTGAAAACTGTTCTTGAGAGCCCTCCAAATTATTAAGAAATTTTTCAGTTGTGATCAAATAATTTATGAAATGTTTAGATGTGTATATATATACCTTCATTGTTTTAGCAACTCTCTTAAATTTGGTTACAGAGAGCGAAAGAAAAGAATTGAAAAGCCCCGAAGGTTCAGCAGGAGTCATAGCCGGAGTCCGAGTCCACCACCTTTTCGGGGACGAAATACAGCAATGGATGCACAGGAAGCATTAGCCAGAAGGTCAGAAATTACTATTTTAATGATATGTGACATAAATATGCTGCTGCTATTGATTTTTGCATGTCTGCATATTTTTATTCTCATGTGCTTCTAGACTGGAAAGAGCAAAGAAACTGCAAGAGCAAAGAGAGAAAGAAATGGTTGAAAAACAGAAGCAACAGGAAATGGCTGCAGGTAATCCATGTATATTAATTACTAAACAATAGTGTGAGCAGAAGATAGGGTAGGTTTATGTGCTGAGTGCTACAGTCCTGTCCAACAGACTTGGGAGGTGGGCCTGTGCAAACCTCATGAAGTTCAACAAGGCCAAGTGCAAGGTCCTGCACATGGGTTGGGGTGATCCAAAGCACAAATCCAGGCTGGGTGATGAGCAGATTGAGAGCAGCCCTGCAGAGAAGGACTTGGGGATATCACTGGGTGGAAAACTGCCTGTGAACCAGCAACGTGCTCTCACAGCCCAGAAAGCCACCTGTGCCCTGGGCTGCAGCCAGAGCAGGGGGGGCAGCAGGGCCAGGGAGGGGATTCTCCCCCTCTGCTCCGCTCTGGGGAGACCCCCCTGCAGTGCTGGGTCCAGCTTGGGGGCCCCCAACAGCAGAAGGACACGGAGCTGCTCGAGCGGGGCCAGAGGAGGCCACGAAGATGCTGGGGGGGCTGGAGCAGCTTCCCTGGGAGGCCAGGCTGAGAGAGTTGGGGGGGTTCAGCCTGGAGAAGAGAAGGCATCGGGGAGACCTTTGAGCGGCCTCCCAGGGCTTAAAGGGGGGACAGGAAAGGTGGGGAGGGACTCTTGATCAGGGGTGTGGGGATAGGAGGCAGAGTAATGGTTTTGGTCTGAAAGAGGGTAGATTTAGATTAGGTAGAAGGAAGAAATTCTTCCCTGTGCGGGGGGTGAGGTGCTGGCCCAGGGTGCCCAGAGAAGCTGTGGCTGCCCCCTCCCTGGAAGGGTTCAAGGCCAGGTTGGATGGGGCTGTGAGCACCCTGGGCTGGGGGAAAGGGTCCCTGCCCAGGGCAGGGGGCTGGGATTGGATGTGTTTTAAGATCTCTTCTAATAGTTGTCTGTCTTTGTATAATTGTTAACTTGCTCCATATATAAGAACCAGGTTTAAAACTAAGAAATGTTTGAAAAAACAAAACCAAAACAAAGATTTTCAAACATAAAACCCCAGCAGAAACAATTGGGATGTTACTGAGTATACAACAGAAATACTGTATGTTAGGGTCGCAAATGATTTTGTGATGGTCATTGGACCCTTCCTTCATGCATCATTAAGCAAGAGTTTGAAAGCTATTACCAGCTCAGGGGTACTTAGAAGCATGAGTTACATAAGTTTCACTTCTGGTTTATTGAAACTATTGGAGACTTGTTTCTTAGTTTAAAAATAACATGTATTTTAAAGTGCATTTATTATTCAAACATTTTCAACTTAATTATGATGAAAGGAAGTGTTTGGAGTTTTTGTTTTGGTTTTTGTTGGTTTGGGAGTTTTTGGTTTGGTTTCCAAAAGGTCTGAACTTAATGTCTGAAAGCAAGTTACCTTTCTTCTTCAGCGGCTGCAGCCACTGGAGGTTCCGTTATTAATGTTGCTGCCCTTCTGGCATCGGGAACACAAGTAACTCCTCAAATAGCAATGGCAGCTCAGATGGCAGCACTGCAAGCAAAAGCACTAGCAGAGACTGGAATAGCTGTACCTAGCTATTACAACCCAGCAGCAGTGAATCCAATGAAATTTGCTGAGCAAGAGAAAAAGCGGAAGATGCTTTGGCAAGGCAAAAAGGAAGGGGTAATGTTGTCCTTTCTTACTTTCATAAAACTTGTTTAGAAACATCTTGCACTTAGTTTAAGGATGCTTATTAATGTTATTTCCAGAAAAATTGCTTTCATATCTCTTACGAAGTTTCCCTATTAACAGCAGCCCACTTTAGGAGTGGAAGGACTAAGATAACTAGACCTTCAGTGACAAATGGTTGTGACACAAGCCTCAGGAAAACACCTAATGTCATAAAATTTAGGAGGTATAATTGGATCTTACTGTTACTTTTGTCAGTTTGCCTAAAACTTGCAACTAAATATCAAATAGATGCTATGTTTTTACTGAAAAGTGATAGCTAAGGTATAGAAACTATAATTGACCATTCCTTTTTGTGGTTGTAGAGATTTTTAATTTGATTGGCTTATCGTGTCCAATTCCAGACTTCAGAAACAAGTCTGAAAACCTTGCTAGTAACTTTTCAGGAGTGGAGTGATGCATTACTAACAAAAGTTGGAAATACAGATAAGCCTTCAGACTTTTATGCTGTGTCAAATAAATGCTCTTGCAATTAGTGAAGCATAGGTCACCAAATAAGAAAGGCTCCTGATGCAGTTGCTTTTTCAGAAAGTCACTGGGTTTGAGTACAGGCTTTGCCTGCTGATATTATGGAAAAATTGGCGCTTTAGTATTTGTATCTTTGTCTTTTGACACTCCGTGTGAGTACGGAAGTGTGTTTGTTACATTAATTATCATCATGTGACTGTATGTAACAAGCTCACTTAGCTGTCCACAGACTGTTTCATAAGATGGGAAAAATTGAGACCAGTTCCTGTGGCGTGGATGGGAGGCAAAAGGGAGGGAAGAAGAAACCTGGATGCTGTCTGAGCATTTCTTCCTGAATTGTGCTGTATATTGATGAGCTGTAATAAGCATATTTGCTTTTCCATCATTCGCTTTTAAGCGTGCATTCTGACAAAATTTCCAAACTGCATGGAAATGAGTACAGTCTACCCAAATAAAGAATATACATCCATTTTTTAAACCTATGGCTAAGTAGACTTCCTTCACAAAGGGTTTCTGTGAGGCTGCTGCAGGCATGTCAGGCATGATGTGGAAACCTTTTACTCCAGGTGTGCTAGTGCTACCCAATAAGCTCATTTTTAATGCCACTTTTTTGATCACTGCTGTATAGTGATACTAATGGAAACTTACATAAAAAGTTGATAAATGTTTTGTTTTGTTTTAAACTTGTACAGGATAAATCACAGTCTGCAGAAATATGGGAAAAATTAAATTTTGGAAACAAGGACCAAAATGTCAAATTCAGAAAACTCATGGGCATTAAGGTAAAGAACTCTGAATGTGTAATTAACTTTATTAATTGTAGTAGTGATTTCTTTATTTTAAAGTGCTTTTATCTTAACCAGTGAAGATGTTAAACTAATACTACTATCTGTAGTTAAGAACTTTTAAATATTTCTCATTAAAGTTCACAGACAACATCTAAATCAGAAATAAATTCAAATTGTAGAAATTCTTTGGTTTTGGCTAACAAGGCAATCGTTATGATCTGTAACAATAGTGGTAACATAACCAGTATTCATAATGTGATATACAGTATTACTGTTTATAGATAGTTAGTTGGAGACATTTATTTGAATGAGTTAGAAGAAGGAACGGAATGAAGGCCTCTACATGTTTCTTGACAGTGATAGGAAAGCTACACTAGAATGCTCCAGCAATAAAACCAAATATTTGTATTCTTCCTAAGTTTTGAAAACAACAAAGCAAAATTGTTACATTTAGGACACCTGTAGTATATGAAGACACCACTTCCTACACAGCTAACGGTTTTCTTCTGTTTGGTTTCTAGAGTGAGGATGAAGCTGGCTGTAGTTCTGTTGATGAAGAGAGTTACAAAACGCTGAAACAACAGGAGGAGGTTTTCAGAAATCTAGATGCACAGTATGAAATGGCGAGATCACAGACTCATACGCAAAGAGGAATGGGATTGGGGTTTACATCTTCAATGCGAGGAATGGATACTGTTTGAAAAAAAAAAAAAAGTTTTAAAGTTTGGGACTATGGAAGGTTCTTGTTCAAATGTTGGGTCCTTGTTCACCAAAAAGCTAGCATTCTAGCTTGCATGGGTGTTGCATTGACTTTAATTTATTGAAAAATACAATTTTTTTGTAAATATCAGATCAGTGATACTGGTGTTAGTGTTGTAATCAGGTTATACCCACTTCCATTAAACTTGACAGAACTATAGAAGGACAGTATTTTTTAGTTAAAGTTCTACTTTTCAAACCAAGCAGCAGATGGGAGAAACTCATACATGGATATTTCGTGTCCACTGTCTTGTGTACTTTTGTACTTTAACCTTGTACAGTTATTTCCAATTCTTGAAACATGAAAGAAATATTGTGTAGATGTTATTTAGCAGTCTGGGCCGATAGGCACATAATCCAGTGCAAAAAACCTGGTTAATAATAAAGACTTTTTTTCTCTAAGGTCTTACTTTATGTTAATTAAATTGTATTTTGGGCCAAACTGAGGAAGCTAGTGAGGAGATGTCAGGAAGAGCTGAGAACTCAGAAATAGTTTTGCTTTGCTTATTTGAAGTAGGATTTTCCTAGAGTAAGGAGATGAGCAGTATGGAGCACAACTCATGGTAATGAGTGGTGAACTCATTTTCTTTTTTTCTTTTTTCCATTTTTTTTAATGTTGTTGTTTTGGGGGAGGGGGGGGTGTTTGTTTTTTGATGAGTTTGATTCTTGCAAATTTTAGTAATGAAAAAGGGTTAACCAAACCATTAGTGAGAAAGGTAGGATGTTGGAGCCCCTCACTAATATTTTGGTGCTTAAAAGTACTGGAAAGTGTGTTCAACTTTTTGTAGGGGCTTATCTAAGCGGGTGTCCAGGAACACTGGTACATGAGCACACTCGCTGCACGGGGCAGGATGCTGTGCAGATGCCCTTTTTTTTTTTTTTTTCCCCTGCGCCCCTCACCCCGAGGAAGAAGGGGGGGGGGGGGGGAAGAACCCTGCCCCAGCTGGTCCCTGAGGGGGAGGCGTCGCCCCCCATTTTGGGGCCGCTTCTCCCCAAAACTACAGCTCCCGCGGGGCCGCGCGCGGTGGCGCGCAGCCTCCATCCCCCGGTACGCCCAGCGCGCGGGGCCGGGCACCGCCCCGTGCATGCTGGGAGTTGTGATCCTCCGGCTCCGCGCTGGGGCAAGGCCGCCCCCCCTCGCCCGGCGCTTCCCGCCGCAAGCGGCGGCTCCTTCTGCCCTTTGACCCCCCGGCAGCTTGCCCCTCCCCCCCAAGCCCCTCCCTTCCTGCTGCAGCTTAAGATGGCGGCTGAGGTGGATTTCGGGGACCGCGAGCTCTTCGAGCAGCTCGAGGGAGAGGAGGGGCCGCCGCCACCGCCTCGCCTCAGCGAGGAGGAGGAGAGACCCGGGAAAGCCCTGGAGGAGCTATACGCGCGGCTGCGGGACCGTGAGGAGACGGTGCGGCGGCTGCAGGCGGAGAATATCCTGACGGGAGAGGCAGGGCCTGCTCCGGGGAGGGGGGAACGGGGGGCGCCGCGCCTGCTGCCGGTTCCCTTCCGGGCCAGGCTCGCCGCCTGCCCACCGGGGGCTGCCGGCCGCCTCCGGCCTGAGGGGCTCTGGCTTTTCCCGCTTCCCGGGGATCTCCGTGAGGTTGGGCCCTGGGCCTTTGTAGGGAGGAAGGCCCTGGCGGTGGCTGCCTGGCAGCCGGAGCCCTGGCGCGTCCAGAAGGACGATGAGGATTGAGCTTGGCGGAGGGGGGGGGGCAGCCTCCCTCTGGCTGCTCCCCGCTTCGGGCCGCGGCAAACCCGCGTCTCACTGCGGTGGCTGTTTTGTCCTGGCTTCTGCTTCCGTTGCCTAAGAGGAAGTTTTCTCTGAAAACTTTTGATCCTCAAAACGGCCAGGTCCGTGCCAGCTTCTCTTCAGTTGGCAAAGAGGGTAGTGGGGTTCTTAAGTGCAGGGATGACTTAAAAACAGCTGACTCTAGACTCCTTTTTGCCTTTCTAGGGAAAAGAAAGAGCTGTATGATCACTTTGCAAATCCATTTTTAACGTGGCAGGAAATAATTTTAAACCGTTAAATTGTGTCTGGTTCCCTAAAGGATTTTTTGGATTCAGTACAGCAGCAGAGTGGAATTTGAATTGTTTTTTATAGTTTATTTTCTCTCTACAAGTATGTGTGTCTTACTATTGACTTTTTTTCGTGATGATTGTAGGTATTTTTAAAATAAAATACTATAAATCTGACAACTCAGCCCAAGTGCATGAAAATGATAATATTTGGATTGTCACAGCTAGTACTCCCTTTAATCTGGGGGGTGGTGGGATTGTTTTGCATTTTGTTTGTTGTGTATCTTCAGCAACAGGTGGCTTTGTAAATAATCCTCTCTGTAATGAAAAAAAAGTTCTGAAAAAAAAACATCTGTTGCTCTGTGGAATTCTTGTTAGGTGTTTTCTTGTTTGTTTCGATCCTTTAATTAAATAAGGTGTGAGTCTGTGTCTTCTGAAGAAAGTAATGTTCCTTAACAAGAAATTCACATCAGGAACTTAAAAGGAAGCTGAATATCCTGACCCGTCCTAGGTATGTTAACACTGACTTAAAATTTGCTTTGTATCACCTATATATGTTTGAAATAAAGTTTGTCTATGATAATAGCTGCCTGAGGTAACAATGTCTGCCACATCTTTTGGAAACCTTGTTTCTATGACCCTGTCCCTGCTCAGATGTTTGGCTTGTAAAATGTCATTACCATTCTTGAAAAGTCTTTTAGACTTGAGTATCAAGAAGTTAGTTTGTATTGCTGTAACTTTATTTGTGTGTATCTGTCTGTTTATGAAACTTAGGTGGCCTTTAGGAAAACAGATTTTTGTAAAGTTCAGCCATGAGAATGGTTGAATAAATAAGGCATCTTATTTGTAAAATTATATAATAGTTTACTGCAGTTAGAAGAAAACTTATAGTGTGGTGGTGTTTTGTTTTCTTTCCACCTCACACTAGGCAACCTGCTTGACTTGGAAGAGGATGATTTCTGTTTTGGTGAATAAGAACTTACTAAAAGAACAGAACTTTTATTGGCCAAACCTTCCTCTTTGTGGACTTGCAGAGACTTTGCTGTGTTGAAATGGATAGGGAATATTTACAGTAAAGCTAACATAGCAACCATTGTCTGTGTCTCTGTTATATTTTTCTAGTGGAATTTCAGTGGACAACTCCAAATTTGATGGACCTCTGTTACAGATACTATTCATGAACAATGTAATTTCTAAGTAAGTACTTTCCAATAAAAAGCAATCCTGACAGGAAATGGGACTTGTTTTGTTTGATTGGATATGGTAGTGTTTGCCCAAAGGATGGATGGATATTTTATTCAATAACATAAACTTGTTAAGCTTGAAGAGAACAGATAATGAGCAGTATGACAGGAGGTCTGTTGCTTTCATTAGTAATATCTTTATTATGAAATGAAGTGTGACTTCTAGGAGCTTGGAGTGAGTCTGAACAGCAGTTCAGAGTTTCATGAGTGTTGTGGGTAAATATAATAAATTAAGTTTTCCCCACTTCTGAGTTGATTTTTTTGCTCTGTTAATGTAAGTGTGCTCTCTAATAATAGATTGCATTCCTGTTGGTGGGGGTTGGGAAGAGGACAAGAAATTCGACTGCCCCTTTTCTAAGTTCTTTAGTAAATGGTGAATGCTTAAAAAACAAATGACATCTGGCATGTGTTTCAGTCTTGCTCATGTCTTCATCTCTGTATACTACTTCACTCTGTTACAGGCAGTATCATCAAGAAATTGAAGATTTTGTTTTTAATTTAGTTCAGAAATATGAAGAGCAGAAGAGAGGTGAACAAGAAAAAACGCACTTCAATGTTAAGCCACAGGTACTTTAAAACTCAGATTGTTATTAGGTGCCCCTTCTCTTGCATCTTTATAGTGGCGATATTGAAATACTGCACTGCTAAACAGCTGAATTATATTTTTTCCTGTTTAATTGTGAATTAAGTAACTATCAAACTAACGTTATGTAACTATTTGTTAGAAAAATAGAGGACCGGGACAAAGAAAATATCCTTTTTGCCCATGAAAAGGCTTCTTTAAAATTGTTCCTATTGAAATTTGTTTAAAAGTAAAGTAATAAGTTGGTTTAAATAATCAAAAATGGACTGCAAAGTACAAATTCAACATATCCTCTTCTGATAGTATTTGGCCCAACTTTGGGTATATGAAAGAGCATAGATGAACAACAGAATCTGGAAATTTCCACTGTCTTCTCTTCGAATTTTGCGGTTTACTTATCATTCACCTTTTAGCAATCACTTTGAATAAAAGGTACATTTCTCTCTATCTTTCTCTTAGCTTTTGAAATAAGAATAAAGATGTTATGCAGCATATTTCTCAGCAAAGAAAACACAAGGAATGAGCTGTGTCATACTTTGGACTGTGGAAAGCATTATGACTAATGCAGACATCTCCATCCTACTGTTTAACTAATGTTTCATGAAAGAATAGAAGCTGTATTCTATGTTTTTACATGCTTAAATAATTTAGGAGCTCTTCTATTTACTGTTATTTTAAGTTAATTATTTGCATTTTTACTTTTCATGTCAGCCCTCCAGTGTTCTTTTGGAAGAGGACTATAAAACAGCAAGCTCGAATTCTGTTAAAAAAATTAAAGAAGCTTTTAGTGTAAGTTTTTGACTATGTACTCTCCAATGGTAGGTCTGACTCTTTATTCTACTTATTCAATATACACTGCCATTTAAAATAAGATCTAGTTAAATTTCATTTATCAGTGTAATAGCAGTTAAGCTCAGCATGTGTTGGCTACATTAGTTGAAAAAATTCTTATTTGTACAGGTGTGGGCATGTATTATTTGTAAATTCTTAGAAAGCGGGGGAAAAAAACCCTGCAAGTATTTCAAGCAGTGTAAATTTATAGAAATGCTACCAATCTGACCTAAATACTGACATATTTCTGACAATTTTCTGACTTTTTTTCTACAGGTTGTAGGAAGTGTTCTGTATTTTACCAATTTTTGTCTTGATAAACTGGGACAACCTATATTAAATGAGAATCCACAACTGACAGAAGGATGGGAAATACCTAAGTATCCTGTTTACTAAAACAAGGGTTTTTTCTGTTTGTCAAAACCAAAGCATGCCAGTTGGTATATTGAATTCAAATTCTGTTCAGTAGATTGTATATGTCTATCAGTTGTTATAGGTAAAATGCTTTAATGAGTCATTAATGGGTTTTTTTATTCAAAACATATAAGTATTTTGATATGATTGGCTTGCTGATATTTAGAAGGCTTGACAAGAGTGAATGCCTTATCCCCATAAATATGTCTTGTGACTTTAGGAATTTCCTGGGCCAGAGTGTAATTGGGTTTGGAATGACGGCTCGTTCCAGATATCAATAAGCTTTCTCCCCCTATAAAATCTGCTCTCTGAGAGAACAGAAGAGCTTGGCAAACTCAAAATATGTTGGAAGGTGTTTTTTTCCAAGTGAGGGAAAAATCTTTTATTAAAATTTAATTATGGAATGCTTTTAACGTGCATCCATTTTAAAGTTTGTTCTTTACTGTTTATTAAAGCCAGTATTTGAAAGTGGGATTGAGGGAAATGTTGGAAAAAAGTATTTTTAAATATTGTGGTCTTCCATGACAAAAAGAAATTGGACAAGAAATTTCACAAGTAATGTCATCTCCCCAGTTTTCCAGTATTGCTTCTGCTCCAGAAGGAGTCAAGACAAGAACCAGTTTCACAGTTCATTTCTGCAATATCTAGTTATCAAGCTTCTAGTAAAGGTCATTTCCTAGTGTTAAAAAAATTACTTGTATCTGAAAATTCCAAATTTATAAGCTGGCTAACTTGAGTTTTCTTGTGCCTGCCTTTGAGTGTGTATGCACTGTGCTGTAGTTTTACATTTTGAAAGCTGCCTCTGTTATAGTAGCTATTCTCCAAATCTTGTTCTCCAAGTGATATTTGTACTGACTCCCAACCTCCGATGAAGGAAGTAGATGCCTAACAGGGGAATTTCTCCTAAAATGCCAAGTTAAGTGTGGCTAAACTTCCATGTCTGCCAGCTTAGCTTTGATACTGTTCTATAAATGTACTTACTGCATCTTTCTTTAGATGTCCCATAGATGACATTAAGCCAAAAATAGCACTTTGAATCTGAGTGAAATGGTATATCAGGTACCGTGCTTCTAATTGGCTGAAGTACTGCACTCAATTAACACATCAATTCAACTAGTATCTGGCATCCGCTCTTTTTCTTAAAATCATCTTGTAGATTCTGGAAACTGCTGTGCTTCTGAACTCTACTGAACCTGTTAGTCTTTACCATGCTAATTCGCTTGTAGCCCTCTCGTCTTCTCATACATTTTCAGACATATGGGCAGAGCAGCTGACACATTCCAGTCCAAAAGTCCATACACAAGTAGCATGATATGACCTGTCTCCACCTACTTGAGAAGTGAGTTATATTTTTGAAACTCTACCAAAATATGTTATTAATAAGATTGCTGTGAAGCATACCAGAATTACTAGCTTGCAACTTCTGCCTATAAACAAGAGGGTTGTAGTTTTAGCAAGTGCTGATAAAGAACAGAATTGGTTATTGGATAGAAATTGGGTAGGAGGAAACAGTGTAAGCCCATCTTAGCAAATAGTTTATAGTAGATAAAGTTTTATAGTTTATACTGTGGACTTCATATCGAGGACCCATCTGTAACTTAGTCCAGAAGAGTCAGTATTCTATTCAAAGCCCTATTAGGTTTTCACTGGTATTTTGAACAAAATTGAAACTTTGCTTCATCCAGTAGCAGTTCCTTATTGAAATCTAAAGATATCAGCAAGTTTTCAGCCAGATTCTCTCCCTAGATGGACAAGAAATACAAGTAAAACCAAAAAGGTTTGTATTATTCTTAAATATAAAGTTTTGAGCTGAAAAGTTCAGATGTACACTGTGATTATTCCCCAGTATACTAAACCCTCGAACATACTTGAGCAATGAGTTTAAATTAAATAAACCAGTGCTGAGCTTTGCAGTCAGTTGATCTCTCGTTTGTTGACTTTTTTTTAGGAAGTGCCTAAAATCAGTGTGTAAAGATTTTCTGAAGTTTATGCTCAGTTCTTCTGCTGCTTGCCTTTTTAGTGATTGCTTTGTCATCCTTGCACTGGTGTACTATCATCATTCTTACTGTTTTGTAGAACAACTCCTGTCTGACTTATTTTATAGACTTTTAAGAGAAACTAATCTTAGAGTAGATTATATAGCTTTTATGGTAGGTAAGAAGTAAAACGAAAGGAGTTTCCAGCTGACAGCTTGTGTGGTCTTCATAGCATATAAAGTCACTGATTTCAGATGCCATGAAGACCAGGCAAGCTTTTAGTGGGAATTTCAAAGATAAACAGGCATGCCAAGTTAAACTCTGGTTTGATTAGAAATACTACTGTCTGAATGGCAAAGTGTATTGAAGGGTTGTGCTCATGATATGGGATGGTGATAAAATAATTGGATCACCACAGAAGGTTTCTGTCTGAATACTATGTAAAGATGAAGCAGAAGATGGACTTCACTTTATCTTGTTAGTGGCTTCAAGAGGTTGAAGTGTGTGTGGGTTACCCTGTGCACTCATTCTTGTGTCACCCTTTTGTCTCCACTTCTGGTTCTCGTCCCAATTTGGTAAAAACAAATGTTAAGAAAATAAACCTTTCTCTAAAATCTTGTAAGAGATTGAGATTTTTCCCCCCCCTATAATGTTGAAAACGTTTGCTGCCATGATACAAATTTACAAGGAAAATGAAACTTGAAGCCAGTTGCAGTTCCATTCGAGGTTTTCAGTACACAATTTCACAATACCCATAACTTGTTCAAACTGTGGACCAGGACTTTACAAAGAAGTAGTCATGCTCTCCTACTTGCTTCTGCTGGTAACTGAGTCTCAGTATTGTAAAAAGGATCAGACCTCTCATGATACAAGTGTGAAAATAGAAATAGAGGTATTAATATACTACAGGCATATTAAATTGAGGAGTTTCTTATCTGTACCCTAGAGTTAAAAGTATTTTTTTAACATTTTCACTTTCCTTCATCTGGACATAGCATAAGCTTTAGTGTGTAGGTTTTATTTTCATTTAATGGCATTATCTAAGCAAATGTTTACGTATTTAATCAGAAGAAGAAATCCTTTGGTGAATACTCTTCTGTCTGCAGCACAATATAAGGAAAAGCTTTTCCACCTTTAGGACAGTAAACTATTGGATCACATTGCCCAGAGAAGCTATGCAGTCTCCATCCTGAGAGATATTCAAGACCCAACTACATAAAACCCTGAGTAACCTGGTCTAGTCTCATAGCTGACCCAGCTTTGATGAAGGGACTGAATTAGAGATCTCCTGAGATGCAGCCTGAATGACTCTTCTCTTTTAAAGGAATAGATCTCTATTACATGGGATATAAAAGCACTGTTTCTGCCTGGAAGTACTACTGTTCCACTTTACTTTTAGTTCTTTCTTTCTTTCTTTAAAACTCTCCACAAGCTGACATTTCCCCATCCCTCCCCCTGCCATTCTGTGCTTGTGTGTTTCTAATTTCTTGTGTTCTCCTTAGGACCGTGAAATAAACAATATTCTGTTACTCTATTTTGAAGCTTGACATTAAGCAGTCAATTTTAGAGAAGCAGAAGACAGCATATGAAATTGGCAAGCAATGCATACATTTTTTTCTTTCTAAAACTAAAAATCTGACAAGATTTAAAATAATTAAGTGCATTTAACATGGCAAAATTATTTTCAGGCTTAATTTCTTGTGCATTTTTTAAGCAGGCCAAAACCGCATTGTTTCAATTGTGGTTCTGAAGACCATCAAATGAAAGACTGTCCAAAGGTAAAGTCTACATCAGTATTCAAAAGACTGCTGCTCTCCAAGAAATGTTTCAGTGTAACTGCACCATTTAAAAAAACCCCAAAACAATTAGATGCACTGGGGTCAGGATGTACAAATGGTTACTCATTTCTGTTGGTTAGATTATACTGTTCACACTCATTAATGATACTAAATCAGAATGTAAATTAATTTTGTAGCATAATGGTTTGAATGTCTCCTTCAGTTTATGGAGGGACATTTTGCAGTTTCAACGGTCTTTCCTCCTGTTTTAGAGCTCTACTAGTTCCAATGCAAATACTCTTGGTTTTTTGCTATGTAGTTTTCGTGGCAACTGTACTTCAATTGCATGGCCATGTGATAAGTGATTAAGCATGCTGAGGACAAGGAATACCAGTTTTATGTTGGGTGAAGGAGTGCATATATTGTAAATTGTCCAAATCTAAACTTCTCAATTGTATTATCTTTAAGCCACGAAATGCAGCTCGTATAAGTGAGAAGAGAAAGGAATTTATGGAAGCTTGTGGTGAAGCGAGCAATCAGAATTTTCAGCAGCGTTATCATGCGGAAGAAGTAGAAGAGAGGTTTGGGAAATTTAAACCAGGAGTAATTAGGTATCTCTTTTCCTTCCATTAGCTGTTGCACTGCTTTTCTGGAATATCTTTTCTATCTTTGGAGTGCCAGATGTTACTTTCCAGTGTTCTATTAAGTCCATCTGCTACTCTGAACCATGTATTGTATTTGAATTTGTTTGCTAAATAACATTTTGTTTAATAAATTGCACAGATATTTTTCAAATGAAAACTCATTTCTAGTTTAATAGTTCTACGCTTTCCCATGGCGCTTTCCCTAATGTAGGAAGATAAATGTTATTCTGGCTACTCAGATTGCAAATGTATTATGATCCTAATAAACTAAAAATGCATGCAAAATTCTGAACATTTTGAGCTTTGGATGTCCCTTCCTCTCTTTTTGTCTCTATTCAAAATGTCTTTTAAAAATCATAATCTGACTGTAGCAGTCTCCAAAGAAATCACTGGTAAATTTAGTGTTGCGTTAAGTTCCACCCTTCCTGTTATGATAGCTACAGTTAAGGCCATGAATTGGAAGTAACATGTCAAGTAACTTGGTCTCAGTGTAGATTTAATTCTCATAAAATGTTTAAGAATACAAGAAATTAAAGTATTAAGTGATCTTTAACATCAGAGCTGGTTTTGACTTAAAATTGTCATATCTGGGATTGACAGTTTTAGCTCAAACTATGTTGCCTAAGTTATTTTGACAGTTTAAAATTCAACAATGTTCCTATCTTCCTTTTGACAAAACTCAATTATGGATTTTACTGGAGGACATTTTGTTTTCTATTTGTTTTCTTAACTTAGTGGGGAACTTCAAGATGCACTTGGTGTCACAGATAAGAGTCTTCCTCCATTTATATATCGCATGCGTCAGCTGGGTTATCCTCCGGGTTGGCTCAAGGAGGCTGAAATGGAGCACTCGGGACTTGCACTTTATGATGGAAAAGGTAAGGAATGTGCTGCAGGAATGCAGTTTTCAGTATGCATGCTATTTACTGGCTGCACTCAATTCAGGAGACAATTAAGTACCTAGTTTGTAAACCTTCACATTCCTCATGGAAGAGTGAGAAAGTTGTAAATCAAGTTTTCTTTTCTGAAGTCATGTAAAAATACTCCCATCTAGCTGTGACGTGACAATGAGACAACTTCTGTAATGGTTGGATTGTGTAGATGAAGACTCTCTGTGATTTCACTCTAATCAACCCTTGCTATTAGAACATGGAGCTCCTGCAAAACTGTGCAAGACTCGCAGATAGCCTATTGTCAGATTTCCTCTTCCTTTTTTTAATAAGCTTCTCTTATGTTTTATGAAAGAAACCATAATACATTCTAAAGTTCAGTAACTTACATAATAAGAATAAGACGACCACCATCAAGCAAAGAATGTTTCTTGAAACCCGGGTGATTGAGTAATTTACCAGCTTTCTACTAATGACCAGCATTTATGCTGCATCTCAGAGAACAGTCCTGATGCCAAATTCTGAGGCTAATAATAGTACATGAAGAGTAATATTATTATGAATACCCAGCTAGGTTTCTGGGGAAGCTTTATGCATGCGTCCAGTAGATTTGGTCACTATTACTGCCTTTGTGGATTACAAAGCCTTCTATCAATACTTACATTCCAAAACCCAAAACCCTGTTCTTAAATGCTGTGATTTTTTTGTTTTTCAGTAATATTCTTAATCAGCATTAATAATAATTACATTTCATTACAGATGATGGTGGATCAGAAGATGAAGGATCTCGCCAACCCAAATGCATCACTTACGATGTCTCTAAGTTGATAAACTATCCAGGCTTTAACATATCCACTCCAAGTGGGATCCCTGATGTAAGTGGCTGTATTCTGCCTTCTAAACAACATGCTGAGTAACGTTAATTGCTTTTAGCCAAGTTTGATGTTTTTTGTATTCTGCATCTGACAATTTTCTTTCAACAGGCTCTTATTTTTAAGCACCTGGTTTGGGGCTGAGGGCTGTTGAGGTCATTGACATGACATCCATCTATCTGATACCTGTCACAGCTCCTGTGGGTAGGGTATGACATATCTTCTGTGGTGATTATTTCCATTATGAGACCAAGAGGAGCCTAGAAGGATAGTTTGATTTTTTTATTATTATTATTTCTTTTTAAACACAAAACTTCACACATGAATGCCTGCTCCTTCTGTACATCTAAATTTTCTGAATGTTCTTAGAGTGTGAAAATTACTGTGGGTGTTGTTATAAATATAATTTCAACCATAGAAAACTACATCAGACCATTGCATAACCTCTGAGAAGCTTTGTAACAGCTAGAATAAAACAAGTCCAATCAGAAGAGCCACGTATTGGGTGCCCTCTTAAGCATAGCGCGCACAAGGAGTCTCCTGTGGCTGCTGCTGCTGAACTTTTATTTTCAAAAGCATTATAACCTGCTGTTAGTAGTGAACTTCATCACTGATGTTAATGCCTGTGCCTTAAAAAGAAGCATTTGTACATTTTCTTCCATAGCTTTACATTTGCCCATTTAGTGGCCTCCAGATGCCTGTTTTCATTCAGTATTCTTAACCAAAGTTCTGACCTCAAGTTTTTTTCCGTTTTCACTAAAAATTGAGTTTTTCAAAGTAAGCCTTTTTCATCCAAAGAGTTATTTCAAGGGGAAGTTTGTAGTTGTGTTGCAGATGTTGAAGAGTAGTTGCTATGAAATAGTTAACAAGACATTTTGTAAAGGTGATCGATTTTTGAAAAATTAATATTCCTACTACCCAGTCATAGTGCATTGTATCAGTTGCTTATGTTCACAGGTGAGAGTACTTTGGTTTGCCAGAAGTTCCTACTAAAAATCTATTTATTCTGATAAATAAGGCTTTTAATGAGAACTTGAATTAACCTTGGTTTGTTAATCTCTGTCTCTTTAAGTTTTACTGTCATGTTTTTAGCCAACCATATGCAACGGTTTGGGTTTTTTGTTTTTTTTTTTTTTTTTTGCTATAGGAATGGCAGATATTTGGTTCCATCCCCATGCAGCCATCTCAACAGAAGGATGTTTTTGCTCACTACCTTTCTAATTTTCATGCGGTGAATATATCCCACTGTTATTTGGGGGGGATGGTGGGAAATGTTGTCTTGTAGTTAATGTAGCCAATTATGATCTCTTTTTCTATATCTTTTTTTGCACAAGGGGATAGATTTCCTTATTGACACTACCAGGTGTGAAATACTGATGCTTGGCTTATCTGTTTTAACAAAAAGGAGCTTTGTGTTTAGAAAAAATTCTGTTATTTCAATTAATATAACCAGATCCAAGTTGTGCAATATTTTATGAACAGTTGGGAAAAAAGGTTGCTATAAATTTGTACAGCCTAGAAATGGTCTTAGTTCCAGACTTTCCTAATAAGTGAAAAGCTCACTTGCCATGGTCATGATTTACAGTAATCTTACTACAGTGACTTGAGAAAACACGTGGTAGTTCTGTCCTGTATCGTTCTCGGGTCTTCTCTAATATGACTCTAGACTAGTGTTATCTGCTGCAGAGTACTTGCAGTTAAGGATGGAAGATGTATGCTCTATTCTCAGTCCCAAAGTGTAATGCTATATGGAATTAAACAGTAAATTCTAAGCCTGCCAGGAAGGGATGTGGAATGCTTAAATTGTGATGGTCTCATAAGGTATAGGTATCCAGGGGGAAACTTGGTCATAATCCTGTTTTAGAAATAGTCAGTCTTTTCTTTTGCCACTTAAATCTGAACAAGATTACAGTTCTGTTCAGTTGCATTAAATCTCTCAAACTTCAATGTCTGGTTTACACCCTGGGTCACCAAATTATTGTATATTTAAGAAATTGTTTCAAATATGTTCTTATAGCTGGAAATGTTACCTTGTACAATTTAATACTAATTTCTTTTGTTCTCCTGGATTTCTCTTCAGCCAAGTCCAAAGCCTAGCAATAAAAGGGCTGCATCTCAGTCAAGATCTCATCATTCAAAACGACCAAAAGAAGACAATTCAGAGGTACCAGCAGCTGACATGGACCTAGATTCTGGTATGGTTATTCAGCAATTTTTTTTTCCTAGCTTCAGTTTTTATTTTCAAAATAACTTGCTCTGACTTGAAATGTCAGTATTCATAAAGAGAAACCAGTGTGTTAGTATTCATTATGGTGGTAATGTGTCCCACTGTAGCTGCATTTGGACCTCTCTGCAACAAGCTTTCTCTGTTGCTGTGATTGTCCTATCTTCCAGTACTAAGCAGGAGGTTTCAAGTGTGCTCAGAGCAATTGGAATATTATGTCACAAATTCTGATCTGTTTACCTTAGGTGTATCCTAAAAAAACTTCTGTTATAAAGACTTCAAAATCCTTAAAGATTTGGATGAAATAATGTAGGAAATTACAAGCTCACAACTACGTAAAAATTAGTCCAACTCATAGGAGGACCTCGTGTTGTTTAAATGTTAGAATCTCTGGAGAAACTTCTGGCTTTCCTTTTTGATTTCCTATGAGAAAATCCTTCAGTGTGTCTTAGTGTGGAAAAAGTTCTCAATACTTTCAAGAGTATTTTATCTTTCTTTCCCCCCCCCACCTTTGAATGGCTAGCAGAGTTAAAATCCCCCACGACGTAGTTTCAGTGGATGTTAAAACCTTCAAAAACTTTGTTCTATCTTAGCTGAAAACTAGGGATGAGAAGACATGTCTGCCAGTTAATCAGCATGTTGGCACTTTGAATCTTGTCCTAGTCAGATTTCAGATTCTAATAGATGTATTTTAATCTGTTTCTAGATCTGGAAGCATCACAAAGAGCTCAAACTCATAACAGTTTTCAGTTCCAACCTCCGCTGCCACCTGGACGTCCATCAATGTCAACTCCTCCGCCTTTACCACGAGGAACACCTCCACTAAATCTTCCATCACCTCAGCCTTCGATACCCATCCGCCCTCCTCTTCCTAGGACTACTCCACCATTGAATCCTTCCAGTGATACTCCTCAGCCAAAAATAGTGGACTCAATCATGGATGAGGATACCCTGACTTTGGAAGAGCTAGAGGAACAGCAGCGATTAATCTGGGCAGCGCTAGAGCAGGCAGAAAGCACAAACAGTGACTCTGATATTCCTGTTGATACACCTTTAACTGGAAATTCTGTTACATCATCACCATCTAGGAATGAAGTAGATCTTGTTGCAGAAGTAAGATCATCTGATAAAGTGATTACAGTGGAAACTAGGTTTTCTGACATCATTGAACAGATACCAGAAAATGAACATTCTGTAACTGGTCCTAATCCAGGAGATAGCTTACTTAACTCAAGGGAAAATCCTGATCATACAGATTCCGAAGGCTTGCTGGATAATACTGTGCCTGCTCCCAGCTGTGAGGTTAACAATGGAGAAAAAGCAGGTGGTAATGAAGTGGTCACAAGCATTGAATCTTCTGCAAAAAACTCCAGTCTTGTTCCTGATATGAGCAAGTTTGCTGCAGGCATAACACCATTTGAATTTGAAAATATGGCAGAATCAACAGGTGTTTATCTACGAATAAGAAGCGTATTAAAAAATTCCCCAAGAAACCAGCAAAAGAAAAAGACTTCATTTTAACTGTTCTTTCTTTGTTTCATTATGTCCAAATCCCTGCTTCTTTCTCTCTCCTCCAGTTTTACAAACTTGGATAACTTTCTTCATCCTTTGTGGGAAGGAGAAAATATTGACAAATACAGCTCTGCCGCATTCTTCCTTAGAACTGAAGTCCGTGCAGGGCTTCCATATTGACCAGGACCACCAAAGTGGCCAGAAAACACAGGAGGATTTTCCCAAATTGCATCATTCCATTAAGGAATAACATGACTGTTGATTTGTTAAGAGCTATTGACTTGCCAATACATGAAACTCTTAAAAAAAAAAAAAAAAAAAAAAAAAAAAAAAAAGAGTGGTTTGCTGTTCATTACTTTGGCAAGGATTTATATTGTCCTTAAGTTTCAGGTGGATTGGTGATTTTTTTAAATATCTGTCCTTTGTATGATAATCTATACTTTATACATTTTGCTAATTATCCTGTAGATAAGTTTAATATATTCAGAATGTTTTTAAAAAGGTCTAACATTCAGATTTCCCACATTAAAATCCTGGCAATTGGATGATAATAATCAGGGATTACCAGCATTATCTTCACCATTTCAAATATTTTTATAAATTATTTATGTGGGTCAGTTTTAATTACCACTGTATCTTTTGTAACATCATTGTTCATGTAAACTTGCTGTACATACATGTTCATTGTTGTGTACAGAGGTTTAATAAATGAGCTTTTATATAATGATTTTTTTTTTAATTTGAGTCCTATCCCATCAAACTGCTGATTTTTGAAAATTAGCTGCTGAAGTTTATTAATCCTCATTTTAATCAGCTTGTTTTTCTAATTAAGATAAATATTTTAGGAAGGGTCACAGCTATTGGGTTAAGGTTTTCGTAATCAAGAAGCTGTTAAAATTATTTTAACTACTTAAATAGAACCTTGCCATACCACTTAGTTTTCATAATCTGAAGAATGGCCTACTTGTTAAAGCTTAAAAGTGTTTATAATTCTGCTGATTAATTGTTCTAACACTTTCTTCCCCTTCTGTTAATTGTCTTCAAAGGGACCTGTAGGTGAAATGAATGTACATTATTTGTGTTGCCGACAGAGGGAGTACTAGATTGATTTAACAGTATTCATTGGAGCTGGTAAAGCATTTGTTTGTCCTTATATGAATGCAGGAAAAAAGTTTTCCTAGCAAAGTATTTTAAGTACCTAAGAAAAGACTTGTGAAGGGGACATGTTCAAAGCTGGTTTTGATAATATAACTTACGAGACTAAACTTACTCTAAAATTCTCAGCTTTGCAAATAGTACGTATTTCTCAAAGTTCCTTATAATATGTGATACTAGTGCACTCTGCATTTGAATGATTAAGAGAAGCCCAGGCTTTTTGTAGTTAAAGCGTTTATAGTTATTTGTTTTTTTTTCTCTTAAACTTTACAGGAAGGGAAAACCAAAGTGTCTTTATATATGAACTGCTTGTCTTCTGAGAGGCTGGAAAAACTTTTTGCAGTTTGTACCAGTTCAGTTTATCTGGTTGTACTTGGAAAGCAGTGGTCAAGGTAAATGTTCATTGTATGTGCTAAAATGAAAGACCTTTTTTTTTTTTTTCTCCATAATTTATGGGAGAAATAGTATTATTTCCTGTAACAGGAATGAATAATGAAATATGTTGCTTCCAGCTTGTATACGCTTTACGAAGAAATCTCTATTGCAAAGCATATAGAGATCTTGTGCTTTCTCCATGCCTCTTCCTCCCATGAAGTTAGAAGCTACTAATGACAGTTTACACAAGCCATTATGTGCTGCGTGCTACATCATTCTCATGTGGATGATAATGTGATGCAGGGCATGAGGTAATGATTTCAAGTGTACACACCTTTTGGGTGTGTTGAGGTGCTCATATTTTAAACATGCAGTTCTCTCTCCACACCTTAGAAGATTTTTTTTTTTTTAATAGCGCTTATGAAATGCTGCTTCTTTAGTAGGACATGCAGCCTAACCTTTACAGGAGTACTTGTGTAATTCTGCCTTGCTTATAGAAACCACAAGAGGAAAATTATTTTCATATGCTTAGTACCCTTTAGTGCTCTGTATGTTCACAATAAATTAATAATAAATCATCCTTCCCACATAATTGATCAGAATAGGTAAGTCTTCAATGTTACAAATTCCCAGACTTATCACTAAAGTAGCTGTTAACTTTATTGCTTCCAAGATTTACACTGGAGGTATTAGAGTAAGGGTAAAGCGAAGTAATTTCAGCAATGGGGCTTTTAAAGTAATGGTAAATTCTAGTTTAAATACGTTAAATCCTTATTTTTTAAGGCTTTGAATTTTAAATTGTTTGGCATTTTTTATCACTTTGGCCACTCTTGTATTTGTTCCACACAAACTACTTACAGATACAGATCTTTTTAATTTTTGGAAGATGATATTTTCTGGTATCTAAAGCAAATATTAATGGGGGGGGGGAGGGGGAGGTTTGGGGCAGGAATGAACTATGTTTGGGTCCATGTTTTATATCCACTGGAATTTTTGTCCAGAGTGACTGGACTGACTGGTCGTTCAAGTCAGCAGATGTTCTTGTCCTTCACCTGTAGTCTGCTACAATTGGAAGCATGTGTCCTATGCTGTCACACTTGCATACATGCTTGAATTAAAATTCCCACAACTGGGATTGTTCCCATTTAAGTCTTGTTTCTTAACATAACGAAAGACTCTAGGCTATTGTGAATATGGAGTTGTCTGTGTGCTCAGAATTATTTTTCATTTTGTGCTGCTTTTGCAAAACGATTAGCAGATGTTTAGATTTGCTCCTTTTTTGTCTTGATGTTATCCCTGTCTGTCTTGAATATGTGTTTTGGGGTAAGTCAAGTATCATAGGATATCAGTGCTCGTTTTCTTCTAATGTTATGAATATAGTTGATAAATAGGTGGCATGAATGTTCTCCTATACAGTCAGAATCTGTATGATGAGTTGGTTATTGATAGGCAAAAGTAGGCACTTCAGTAGACTGCTAGCATGGGACTATAAAAATGCTGAGCCAGGAGCTGCTTGGGGGGAGCCAGTGGAAAGCACTGGGCTACCAGGCCTGCTGGGGATTTGGGCTGTCTGGGCAGGGTATTTAGATGCTGTCCCTGAAGCCTGTTACGAATTAGAGCATGAACTATTAGATTTAGACCACCTATACCGTACACTGAGAACTCTTCTTCCTTTTTTTTTCTTATTCTATCCATCTTAAACATCTGTAGATGTTTAGTTTCAAGTCTGAGGCTTCCAAGATCAAAACCCTTTTTCAGTAATGATCTGCATAATCCATATATTAAAAAACAAACAAACAAACAAACAAAAAAAACAACAAAAAACACTCCAACAACTTATCCTCTGTTAGCCTAAAAATTTCTTTGCTTACCTGATAAAGCAAAACAGAGCTGGGAATAGAATACTTCCATTTGTTACTCTTCTGCTTTTCAAATTGTAAAGAAAACTTAGAAAAGTTCCTGTAATATTTTTTTTTTTTCTTAAGATTTTTGTAATGCATATGTTTTGATCTCAGAAAAGCAGACTGCCTATGGCAGGAACTGTATGATTTTTGGTTTTAACTTCTAGTAATTAATTTGAAATAAGGGTAATAGTACAAAATACTGGGCACTCAGAGGTATATTTTAAATTGTTCTTTTAAATGTTATTTTTTAAATTGTCCTTTCTATGGATGTGGTGGTCAGTACGGATAACACTGAGAAGATCGAGCAGAACCAGTAAGTAAAACTGCTGTATTTACCTCTGCTGTAAGACATAGAGTTAATTAGGAGTGGGGAGTTATCCCTGCTGTTCCTGTCATGGTTAGGAGTGAATTTGTCTTGATCTCTTAGATATTTATCTATACTATTTATCTATACTTCACTGTGTCTATCAAGTGCTATATATTGTTGCTGCATTGAAGATGCTTGTAATTATTTAATTTTTTTAATCTGTCAAGTGTACTCAAATGTCTTGTACATTGAAACTGCAATCAGATCACACTACTAGGTCTGAGAAAAAGCTGATTAGCAAAATATTTTTGGTACTTTTAAGTCATATTCCCATGGTGATGGGTGTGGCATAATAACCTAGATTATGCTACTAAAATGAATGAGTAATAAAATTTGTAATGAGGTGGGTATAGTGTGAGCAGGCATCACTCAAATTTTCCCACAGATCCTGTTGGCATAGTACTCATGTTTGCTTTTGGAACAGCAAAAGTATTTAAAAATACTTACGCACATCTAAAAATATCTAATCTGTGCAAAATATTCAGTGTATCAGTTAGGTGGCTAGTTGTCTCTTAAAAAGATTTGAATTTCCAACTTACAGTTTTATAACCTAATTCACAGTCCTTAAAATGTCATTAGAAGAGAAATAGCTGAGACTCGAGAAGATATCTGAAAGATGTGTTAGCTGCTCAGAATTATTTTTACTGCAAATTCTAAGGCAAGATAGCTGGGGAAAAAAAAAATCGAAGAGGAGGAAAAAGCTCAAATATAATTAAAGTGTTTCAAATGCATTGGTAGTTGCCATGGAACTCTGTAGTACCTTCATTTTGTAACATGGCTGTATTGCCTCTGGTAGGTGAATGCCACTGAAGATTGATGCTGTTCCTAATACATTGTAGAGTCATACTTAGGTTTTGGGTGGTGGGAAGGGATGAGTCAGAAGTAGGAATTGGTCTTGATCCTTGGAGAAGCTTACAAACAGGATGGATTTAATAACGTGGTAGTTAATGTGTGATGATTGGACTCTTCCTAAACTTTTAAGTATAAGCGACAAAGATTTGACATAAGATTTTTTTACAATGTATATTTAGCTGTCATCCAGTGACTGAATAAAAATGTATTTACCCTTTCTTTAGAAGTCAGCACTCTCAGTAGGAACAAAAAAAACCTGCTTAGCTTCTCTGCAGGTGAGAATTCAGCTTTTGTTGATATTTACATAAGTGGTAGAATGATTTGCATAGCTCATCTTTTTTAATAGACTATGGTTTCTCAGTTATCTGTGAAATGAAGCACTCATAATCAAGATGAACATTAATGTTAAGTACCTTGTTTAAACAGTCATGCAGAAAGGATTCTTTAAGTACTGTTTGTTCAAATACTGTTCTCTGTTGTTTTACCCGTGTTGGGTAGAACAAATAATGTAAAATTGGATGCAATTTTATCTTGTGTAGCAACCCAACAAAGGGCATGGACTTGCAGAGCTTTTTTGTACTGCTGCTGAGTAATATGGCTGACCTAGGGAAGGAAACCAGTAAGTACATAGAGAATGGAAAGACTTCTTTCAGCCTTTCAATCTACTAAGCTGTGAAAGTAACTACCACATCTGCAGTATTTTTTTTTTTTTTTGGAACTGTTGCATCCATGATAACTAAGGCTAAAAGGGCAGTTTTTCATCTAGCATAACCTATCAGTCAAAGGCTGCCAGTTTTGGAGACATAAATTTAAAGCCAAAAACAGTAATAATAAGCATGAGGCTTCAGGACACTGAATCTCTTTGGTATCAGTATAGATGTAAATAGATGAGCAACATGTACCACTCAGGTTAAAAAGAGAGGGAAGAATGCTGTTGTATTTTTGCAAAACCAGAAGGAACTAAAGAAAATAATAGTGCAAGTTTCTGTGCTGGGATTTTTGAAGCAGCACTTCTGTGATTAAAAAAAAAAAAATGGCAATTAATTGTTTTTTTCTGAAGCAGTTCTTTAT